TCTCTCTCTCTCTCTCTCTCTCTCTCTCTCTCTCTCTCTCTCTCTCCTTACCCTTTAGACATAAAACTAGGAACTTATGAACTTTGAAAGGTCAGGAAAGGTTGCCGTCCAAGCTCCATGCATTGGCATCCATGACAAAATTTTCAAGAAGATGGTCTGGTGCTTCAATGCAGCCCCTGGAACAACCTATGAGATCCAGCCCAGCAATGAATCAGACCACGCAGTAAAGCACCAGTTTCTGCAAGCAAAGGAGCAATCCCATCCATCATTTTTGCCTCACCTGGAAGTGGACTTGGTCAGGCAAATGCTTTCAGTTGGAGCCCACTCTCCCCAGGGACCAAGGTGATATGGGAAGAGTGCGCCCTTAGTTCAGGGAGATGAATTTATATTTCTTTTCTTACTTACCTTTTAAGTTTCTTATCAATGTTATTTGGTTAAGTGATACTAGGGTGCTCATCACTGGATGAACCAATGACATAGTGAAGAAATTAGCATGAATAGCTTAGCACAGTGCCTGGAACATAGTAGGCACTTAAATGTTCATTAATTGATTGATAGATTAAATAGGGCTCAAGACAAAAACCTCAGAAAGACGTTCTCAAACCTATAAACTTGAGGTGGAAATCTAGGCAGACTGGTTAGCATTCTGGGAACCTGACTCATCAGTAACAGTGGGAGTTGGGATGAAAATACTCAGAGTTGATAAGGACTATAAATACTCTTAGGTGTACACAGAACTGATTGAATGTCCATGTACAAAGGATTTTGATTGATGGGTCAATGCTATTCTGGATGGAGGTATCTCAAAATGTTCCAGAGCCCTTTTCAACACCTTGCTCTGTTCAAAATGTTCACAAGTGACTTAGATGAAGGAATCCAAGAACTCATTGCTAGGTCCTCTCCAACACCCTGATGGTCATCTTTGAATTATTCATAAATTTGACAAGCACATGCCATCTAAAACACATTCCCATCATGGAGGGAAGGAGGTATTTGATTAGAATTGTAAACAAGTGAATGAATATTAAGAACATCAACAAATTGAGATGACTAAAGCACATTTCTAGCCATGTCATTCTTCTGCGAGAAGAAGAAGATGAAGAAGACGACGGAGGAGGAGGAGAAGCTTCATTGCTTTCAGGATAAAATCAACTCTTTGGTTTTTAAGACCCTTCATAATGTGACTCTGATCTCTATTTTCAAATTTATTTAGCATTACTTTCCTTCATACGCTCTCCATTCCAACAAAACTTGACACCTTCCTGCTCCCCACAATGTAGTCACTGGAAGCTATAGTTCACTTGTTAGGGATGATGTGGAGGGAATTCTTGCTGAGGGACAGACTGGATGATATTTCCACTGAAATTCTATGAGACAAACCTATCACTAATTCAGGTTAAAATGAGAGGGAGTGTGGCACAGTGAATAGAGAGTGAGCTTCAGATCTAGGAAGACTTGGGTTCAAGTTCAGACTTCAATACATACTGACAAGCCAGATAGTCTCTCAGTGTTCTAGTCAATTCTCAAAGACTGTAAGTTGCAGAGAAGGCACAAATTTGCATTGTTACAAGGAGTTCCCTTGCCCATATACCAATGAAATCACAAGTCTATATCCCTGTCCTTAATATTTTAAAAACAATTTGTTGACATGCATACTGCTTGTTTATATTAAGCTTGCGGTCTACTGAAACTATAACTGGACTGACCTGGTTCTTTAAGGTTCTCTAAAGTTACAATAATTAGGCAGCGGCCCTAATAGTCTTAAAAGGCGAAAGTAGCTCAACGCCCATCATGACCCTTCCATTCAGTTCCTTTTTCCACGTGTACAAGATCCTTCAGAAGAGCTGGACACAGCCTCCTGAGATGGAGGGGGGAGCACCACTAAGACATGGGAATATCTTTCTTTGAGTGTCAATGCCAACCTTTTCTTTGAGACTTGGTTTCTCTCCTCTGGCTCCAGTGTAGAAGGAGACTCTGTTACCCCTCCTAAGGAATTTGAATTGAGAACTTTTATAGTGTGCTTTCTGGAAAAAAGAGAGATCCAGTCACCTGTTTCAGCACAGCCATCATGGTAAGGATCCATCAAAGATAGTTTATTGAGCAATAGAGAGTTGTTTATCCCATCCTACAATTATCTAATAAATGCTCAATGTAGAATCCAATACTATAGCCAGCTTTGGAAATTTCTAAATGGGGGCAGCTAGATGGCATGGTGGATAGAGCACCGGACCTGAAGTCAGGAGGACCTGAGTTCAAATCCTGCCTCGGACCAAACACTTGACACTTACCAGCTGTATTACCCTGGGCAAGTCACTTAACCCCAATTGCCTAAAAAAAAATTAAAATTAAAATTAAAAAAAGGAAATTTCTAAATGGAAGAACAATAAGGTAAATAACTTCATCACATCCTTCTTCCCCCCAACACATACTTTAAGGATGACAACTTGAATTGGTCAAAGTGACTACATTCTTTCATAACTCAGATAGAGAAAACATTCAGCACGTTTAACACAGGGATTGCATGATTTATTGAAAATAGTAGAAAAAATAAAATCTTAGGTGTTTCAACCCAAACAGCCAGGTCTGGGTCACAGGGAGTTTAATTTGAAGTGGAAGGGAGGCTTGTATGATGGGGCAGAGGACTCTGAATTCTTCTCACCAAAGCTCAGGAATGAATAGCCAACAGAGTTCTTTATCTCTATTATAGTTTCAGTTGAGGCAAATGTGTCCATGATGACAGTATCACCAGTCCAGATCATTTGTGATTGTTAGTCTCTGAAGTTCACCTGTCTTGAGGTTCATCTTTATATGATGCACATCCAGCATATTCATTGGTCTCTAAATCTTTCCTCTCTTTGTTCTAGACAGCTAGAAGGGAATGAGTGTTCATCAATGGGATCTTCCATGATAGCAGGCAAAATTCCAATGAAGCCAAAAATATGTGTAGTGGGGGGGGGGGGGAAGTGTTTGGAAAAGGCACAGAAGAAGCCTGCAAGGAACCCAGAAGTCACATTATGTTGAACGGGAAAAACTGAGGCCACACTATTCAGTGGGGTCCCATAGGATAAAGATTTGTTCAACTGATAGCTTTAAAAGAGTGTTTCTGGAGCTATCTCTAGGACTATTTGCTTAGTATCTCAGTATCATTCACTGGGACTGAGGTTTCCAAGCTTTCAGAATGCTATTTGTCAAGGGGCATCCCAGCGACCACAGAAGAATCAGGAAGAGACAAAACTACCTGTAGTATGAAGTCAAACAAAAAAGAAAAGAAAATTGTTCATTGCCCTTAATGATTACCTTCAATCTCTTCCCACCATCTCACCATCATCTCTTTTAACACTAATCAAAAAGCATTTGTGAAACCCTTATTGGATGCTAGACACTGAACTATCTGGGCATACAACAGTAACCAAAAATAAAAATCAAGGAGCTTCATGCAAATAGTGAAAGAATGTGCATATTAAATAGGAAGATAATATATACTGAGTAAATGGAAAGCAACCTTAGAGAAGGCTATGAGAGACTTCAGGCTGGAAAGGCCTTGTAGAGAAAGTGGTACTGAAATGGAGCCTTGAAACTATGGATTCTAAGAGGTCAAAGGGAGGAGGGAGATCATTCTGGGCATGGAGGAACAGCCAGTACAAAGGCCCAGAGACAGGAGACGGACCATATGTGTAGGAAACCAAGTATGGCTATATCTTAGTGTGAGTGGAGGAGACTAAAGTATCAGAAGACTGGAAAGGTATAAAAGGACTATATTGTGAAGACCTTTAAGTGTTAAAAATGAGTTTATATTTGGTATTGCAGGTAATAATAGAGAACTATCAGAGTTTATCAAATGGGTGGAGGTGTTACTATGGTCAGACCTACAGTTTAAGAAAATGACTTTGGTAGTTGCTTAGAAGATTGATTGGAGTAGAGAGAGATGAGACAGCGAGGCTAATTAGAAGGCTAGTACAATAATAGTCCAGGTGAGAAGTGACGACGAATAACAATAAGAGGTGGCTTTGTAAGTAGAAATATATATATACTTGTGTATGTGTATATGTATGTATATATGTATATCAGAGAGAATCTACATCTATAGATGTATAGATAGCGATATCTATAAATCTATGGATATGAATATATACATTACCCATATCATATTATATATAAAAAATTATATATTATATATACAAGATTATATATATGCCACTACATATGGGTATACACTGCATTTTGTGTGTATGCGTTTGTGTATATGAGACACAGAGAGAGAGAGAGAGATGGCTATGGATATAAAATATGAAAACTGAGAAACTAATTGTGTATCAGAGATTCCCAAACTTATTTAGCCTACCGCCCCCTTTACAAAAAAAGAAAAATTACTCAGTGGCCCCCTGAAAATCTACTTTCTTTAATCTTTTGATTTTTTTTCAACTTATGTCATTTCAAAAAATATATAATTTTTTTAAATGTCATATCTTAAATTTAATAATTTATTGTAAAATTATGGAGTTTTTTCCTGAATTGAAATTTTGGTGATGTAATATTGCCTCAGGTAGTCATACAGCATCATATTATAAACAAGTCATTACATACTCATATTCCTGCCGATGCATGCTGGACTTCCCAATAATGTACAACGTGCTCGCCTGTCAACACCTGTTGTTAAGACCTATCGGGGGACTTGACCGTTGATTGGTTATAACTCACGTTTTGTGTGTCTGTTTGGAAACGAATGTAATCACTATGACTTTAACTGTTATACAACACATTAAACTTGTATGAACAGTTTTTCAAAGTTTTCTTCTCTTCTCTTCTTTCCTTACGCTTCCACTGCCCCCTTATTTTTATTCAATGCCCCCCAGTTGCCCCCAAGTCTATTACCGCCCACCTGGATCATTCCAGCACCCCCCCCCAGAGGGTAGTATTGCCCACTTTGAGAACCTATGGATTGTTTGGGAGTGAAAAGCTGAAGATGGCACTAAGATTGTGACCCTTGATGATTAGGAGGATGATGGCACCTGTAATGTTTCTAGAAAAGTTTAGAAGAGGATGTTTAGAGGAAGTTTGGTTTGAGTAGCCAACTATCTATTTCAAAATATCTGATGGGCAATTGGCATTGAGGTACTAAGACTCATGAGAGAAAACAGAGCTTGACTTCTAGATCTAAGAATCTGCGTGGAAAAATTGAACCCATGGGCACTGATAAGATCAGCAATTTAAGAGTGTAGAGAGAAAATAATGGAAACTCCAGGAAAGAGTTGTAAGGGTGCTGGAGTCTGCTCTCTGGAGTTCATTGTTAAAATTTTAGTGTAAGCACTTACACCTCAAAAATCTGTAAGCACTACAAATCAGGTTTGATGTATCGTTTTGTTGATTGTCTATATTTAAGTGATAGAGAAAATAAAAATGATTATTTTAAAGAGTGTAAAGTGTACAATTTAGAGAATCAATTGTTAAACATTTGCCAGGAAAACCCTGGGGTACACCTGATTAGTGGGCATGGCATGGATGAAGATTTAACACAGTAAACTAAAAAGGAACGGTCAGACAAGGAGAGGGGAACAAAAAGAGAGAATTTTAATGAGAACCAAGAAAGGAGAAAACATCCAGCAGGAAGTGTCTGCCAGTGTCGAAAGCTACAGAGAGGTCAAGAAAGATAAAGCCTGATAAAAAGGCATCGCTAAATTTGGAGAGAGTAGTTTCAGTTGAATGGTGAGATTGGAAACCAAAGTACAGAGTGTTCAAAAAAAATTAAAAAGAGATAAAGTGGAGACATGGAGTGTTGTTCAGAGGTGTCAAATATGAGACCCACATGTGGTCCACAACACGAACTCACCTCATTAGAGTCACAACAGTTTGCTTTACACTCCAGGATTGTGAAAGAGATGGTAATGCAGAATTCTAGCACAGTGAGTATCAGCATCAAAGACAGGATCCCCTGTGGAAATCAGTGTGAAAATCAGGTCAACCAGCAAATCAGAAAGGATGGTTTTCTAATCCTGATTGAAGCCCGATTTTTCCACTGGAAAAGCCCTTATCCAGCCCCAAATAGTTCTGGATCAGTTAAAGGCTGAAAGCTGATGTACTGTCCTAGCCTAAAACCTAGGTCCTGACCTGACCAGGACAGTCATACTCTGATGATTATTGCAAAGATCAATTAGAACTTTCCTATGTAAGATACAGTCACCTCAGATGCAAAGTTGAATAAGATTATTGGCTCCTAGATAGTAGAGACTGTCTTATTTTTTTTTCTCTTTGCATTCTTTGTACTTTGTGTTTTTTCCTTTCTTTTTTTTCTTTTTGTTAGGGTAGGAGTGGGGACTAGATCTATGATTTCAATGGTATAGGAACTCTAAATGAGAAACTCTATGTACCAATAGTAGTCTTAATTTATATTCTTAGAAGAGAGTTGCATGAGAGATTAAATGACTTGCTCGGGATCACAGAGACAAAAGTAGGTCTTGAACTTAAGTGTACCTAACTCCAAGAACAGCTCTCTATCCATTATGCCATACTACCGTGTGAATAGCAGGTGTTTAGTAAATGGTAATGGAAAGAGTGGTGGACTTGAAGTTGACAGAGACCAAGATTAAAATCCCACCACTGCCACTTACCATCTTTGTGATTTCGAAGCAAATCATTTCACCTCCGTGAGCCTCAGTTTCCTCATCCATAAAGTGGTATACCAGTTATAATTACTGAGGAGGTATAGTTAGTTTCTTCAGTAGGACTCTTCTCTACCAACAGATATTACAGATCCAGTCCAGACATCAGATTACCCAATTCACAGGGTCCTCAAGTAGGACAATGTATGCAAAGCATTTTGTAAACATTAAAGGCTGGTAGAAGCATTGGTTACCATCTGTTGAAGGTCCTTTTTTCTTGTGTATCATTGTGACTGATATTTGGACTGATTACCATCCTTGGACCAGTTTTCCTATCTCTCCCTCTAGCTCTTTCAGCCTTCCTGCCTTCCCAATATTTGCCCAGCCTCAGTCATTTATTCCCTCTTGGCTTCTGGTTTTCACGCACTCTTTGGATCTACATTGCCCCATTTACTGACTCTACCCCCTTTCAACCTTTATGCATTCCCATCCTTGACTTCAGTTCTACTGGCCCCAGCCAACAATTGTGCACCCCAATCTCTCTGGCTCTGCGCACGGTTCGGCATCACACAATTACTATCTGACCCCGCAGAATATGCAAAGACTTACAGCCAATGTGAAAGTGGTCAAAGTGCACACGTTAGGAGCTGCCAATGAACAACTGTTGACTTGCCAGGCATTTAGCACAAAATTGATCGAGAGAAAAATGAACCCAACTACAGAGATAGTTGCACTGGCAATGTTCATCCCAAAACTGCTTTGCACCTGAAAAAATGATCACAAGAACATGAAGTACATATGGGCACAGAACAAACCCTCTATTTTTCCAGGCAACACAGAAATGCATCTGATAATAATTTTTACAGAATTAGTGCTACTTTTAGGATGACCTAGTCTTAACTTTTTCGTTTCACCAATGAAGAAACAGGCTAAGAAGGGAAAGTGTGTTGTCTGAAGTCACACGATAAGTATGGAGCTGGGATTTGAACTTAGTTCCTCTAACTCCAAATTTATTCTTTTGTCATGCCTACATAGGGGCAGATAGGTGGTGCAGTGGATAAAGTGCCGGACCATGGATTCAGAAAGGCTCATCTTGCTGAGTTCAAATCTGGCATCAGATACTTACTAGCTATGTGACCCTGGGCAAGTCACTTAGCCCTGTTTGCCTCAGTTTCCTCCTCTCTAAAATGAGCTGGAGAGGGAAATGGCAAACCACTCCAGCATCTTTACCAAGAGAACCCCGAATGGGGTCACAAAGAGTCACACACAACTGAAATGACTGAACAACAATAACAACATGTCTGGATGTGTGAGCAGTACAAAAGGATATTTCTGTATTGAATCTCTGGCTTGTGGGAGAGTATGAGATAGAAAGAGAGAAGAGTCAACTTCTCCCCTGCAATCTTCTACATCACTTTGTACTGTAATGCCCTGGTACATCTGGGCAACATTTTAAATTAGTTATCTGTGTTTGTTATTTCTCCCCCTATTAGATTGCAAACTCCACCAGGACAAAGTCTGTGTCTTATCTAAATATTACATATCTACAGCATGTGGAAGATTGTTTTCTATATGGGAGGCAGTTGATATGTATTTGAAGTATCACGATTTAATAAGGCTAACCACTGGCTGCTTTTTGTAGACAATTCATAAAACTGGTTGGTAATCTCCATTGGTGGAAGAATTAAAGATATACAATGACAAATTCATAACTAGTTGAGTTATTTGGGGGAATGGGTCTGGGCCTATGACTTCACAAATGTGGAGATCTCCCTGTGCGAAAACTCCCTTCATTACTGCAATTGTCAACTCTTCTGTGACTTAGTCTTAGAAAATTGACTGGGAAGGTGAGAGATTGAGTAGTTTTCTCATGGTTACATGGCTAGTATTTGTCAGAGTCAAGACACGATACCAGGTTTCCACAGGTCCAGACCCAGACCACTACCCACAATACCTTTCTTCTTCAGTTTTTGTTAGCTGATGGGGACATTAGATGTGAAGTCTCAGAAATTCCCATCATTCATCCTTGATAATATCATCTCTTCCCAGGGTAAGAGTTTGCAAGTTTGCTTTATTCATTCTTAACTCATCTTCTAATGAACTTTCCATACTTTCCAGACACACCCAAACCTTGGATGAATGAAAAAGAGTCATAGCGCCTCACTATCTCTCACCCTCCCCTATCTATCTGTTGCCAAAGCCTGATGATTTCACCTTCACGACATCTCTGAAGAATGGCCCCTTCCCTCCTCTGACAATGCTACCGCTCTGGCACAAAACCTCATCACCTCATTCCTGGACTATTAAAAATGACCTGCTGGTGGTTCTGTGCCTGACTCAAATCTCTCTCCACTCCAATCTATCCTACATTCAGCCACCAAAGTGATTTTCTTAAAGTGCAGGACTGACCAGGTCACTTTTCTCCTCAATAAACTCCAACGGCTCCTTGTTGTTGCAAAGATCTGAAAAGATTAAGATCGATCCTGTATCGTTTTCTTATTGATCTTATTTATAATTAATTGATTTTGTCCTGTAACTCCTTTTGTCCCATAACTTTTTAAGTCATGGTTCTTTGACTCTGAACTTAGTTCAGAATTCAGCTGGCCTGTAAAGGGTTAATTTAAGAAATCCAGCTCTCCTGCCAATCATGGCTCTATTCTTGTCTCAAGGAATTTTGCAAACCTTGGGGAATGTGTGTGAACACAAAGGGAGCCAGGCCTGATACCTTTCCTCTACCAAGCTATCCTTCAAGGATATCTGGTTTGCTGTTCAAAAGTCTGGGCTGCTGTCTCACAGCTGGACTTCAAGAAAGAGCACTGCTTAGTCTCACGAGAGAAGGGGGAGGGGTTGTTGCTCATCCCCATTACCAAACTTCCAATGAATCATGTTGTTCCCTGTATGTCAGCTTTGTAAACAATTGTGTTGCCCTCCACCCCATGATGTCATCTATCCTATTCCATTGTTCTGTATGCCCCAAAATTTATAAAAGGGGTACTGTCCTTCTCCTTGGGGTCTTTGGCGTAATAAAGGCAATCCACTTGCCCATTTATTGGCAGGTGACATTCCCCTCTTAATAAAGGTTATCTTGCATGAAGATTTGCCTCAGTTTCCCTTATGTTAAAATTCAAATGGTGCGTACTAAATACAAAATCTTGTTTGGTGTTCAAAAAGCCTTTCATAATCTAGCCCCCACCTACATTTCAAGTCTTCTTACAACTCATTTTCTCTCAGGTACCCTTTGATCTAGTAACACTGCTTTTCCTTGCTATTCCATGAGCAAGACACTCCATCTCTCAGCTCTGGGAATGTTTTCTATCTCCCATGCCTGCAATGATCTCCCTGATCGTCTCTACCTATTGGCTTCCTTTAAATCCGAACTAAAATCCCATCTTCTAGAGGAAGCCTTTCCTAACCCCTATTAATTCCAGTGCCTTCCCTCTGTTAATTATTTCCTATTTATCCTGTATATAGTTTGTTTGTACATATCCAAATGCTTGTTGTCTCCTAGATTGTAAACCCTGTAAGGGCAGGGAACTTTTTTGTATCTCCATCACTTAACATAGTGACTGGCACAGAGTAAGCATTTCTTACTGACTAAGGTGGCCTTGGCTAACATTTCCAAACTGGCCCAGTTTGCCCCTCATTAGGAAGCCTTGTAGCACCCTGCTCCCGGGGCTCACCCTATTGGTACCAGACTAGTATAGACACCCAATCAGCTTTAGATCTAGAACTTCTGAACTCAAGTGATCTACCAGCCTCAGCCTGCTCAGTAAAATGGACTTGAAGGCATGAGTCTCCATGCCCCAGAGCCACACTAAATGGAGGCTGGTTGAGTGATATATCTTCTCTTAGAAGGAAAAAGATTAGACTCTTTCTATGTCCTGAGAGAAAAAGCAAGAGTGTTATCACTTACCAAATTCCTTGTGGGTTTTCCTCCAGCTGCAACGGAAAGGGATCCTGAAGTGATGAACTGGTAATAAAATAAGAAACATCGTAAAGAAATGTCAGGCTTCAACCATATTGTCTCCTTCCTCTCGACGTGGCTCACCAAGTATTCAGCTAGTAGGCAAGATGCTGGCCTAGACGCCACATCCCTAAATTCACTTGTGTTAGTAAGCAACAAGACCTGGGTTTGAATCCTGCTTCTGGCAGTTAAAGGTAGCATAAACTTCCGGAAACTCAGTTTCTTTATCTATTAAATGGGAATAATAATAGCACATAGCTCATGGGGTTGTTATAAGGCTCAGGGAGATAATGTTTGTCAATTGATTCACAACTCTGAAGTACTCTGTGTACATGAGCTATTTTTATACTTATTCTTATTGTTACCATTAGGTATCATTCCCCTAACTGTCACAGATTGCTATCCATCCTTGAGTTTTCATCCATTGTGATTTTTTTTTCCATTTCTTTCCCTAAGTCCTCCACAGGGAATATGCCTAAAAGATCAGAGGTCTTCCTCTGAGGTTCTTTGGACATTTCATAGATACTGATGCAACGCTCAGGCTTTTCCCCATACTCTTACTCTAAAACCAGTCCATGTCCCATTATGTTAAAAATGTATCCATCAGGATTCGTCTTATTTTACTTTTCCTAGACTTGGTTATTGTCCTTCATTCTCAAAGGTCGGGGTCAAGATACGGCGTGTCTGACTGTGACTGATCAGACCAATATAAACTGGAAGGCTCTACCACAGGCAAATAGAATAGCATAATATCAGAGTTAGGGTATCAAGTCTGCCTGGGTTTTACAAAAGGGAGAAATTGAAGCTCAGAAATGGGAAATCATTGGCTTAAAAACAAGCAAGGTGGTATAGTAGATAGGATTGTTGTATCTGGAGTTGGGAAGATCTGAGTTCAAATCTAGCCTCATTCACTATCCATATGATCCTGGACAAATCATTTCACCTCTCTCAGCCTCGGCTTCCTTATTTGTAAAAGGGGAATAATAATAAAACGTCTACCTCCCAAAACCAGCATTATATGTATATTAACTATTGTTATCATAAAATAATTAGCTATAATTATTAATATTAATTAGTATTACTAATCAATGCTAGGTATTATCACTATATACTATGTATTGATAAGACTAAGTAATACATACGTGTGTGTGTGTGTGTGTGTGTGTGTGTATATATATGTTTTACAAGGTACTTTACAAAGTATTATTTCATTTTATCCTTATAACAACCCTGGAAGCTGGCTGTTGCTGCTATTGTCATTGTCACTATCGTTATGACACGAGGAATCAGTGACAAAACGTGACTCGAGCTCACAGACTCTTGACTCCAGTCCCAGAGCTCTTTGCGTTACCTCACTTTGTAAATTACTCCACCTTTCTCAGCACTTTTAAGGTTCTCATCCTTATGCAGTGACCACAGAAACCCTACATCCTTTTTTCATAAAATTTCTGTGGTATGTAGGTAAGCATTACCAAAGTTGCTGACTCCCAAGTTGTGAGAAGGTCCAGCCAGGTTCAGTCGTCTTGTCTCATGGAACTGAGTGCTTTATAAACCATAAAATTACTACAAGTGTGAATTTTCATCAATATGTTCATTCAACAAGTATTCATTCCATGCCAGGTATTATGCTATGGACTGGTGATACAAATAAACATGTTACAATGCATATCTTCAAGGAACTTAAATTCTACTAGAGGGAAAATCAACATGAGCAGAGAAAAAAGAAATCCAAAACGTTAGTGGTTGAGAGTACTCACAAATGCAGCTCCCCAGAAAGGGTAGCCTATGTAGAGCATGAAAAAGGCGGTTCCGGAGAAATCAAAAGTATGTTTTAATAAGCCTAAAAATACCCCTAAGGCAAAGATCATACTCCCGTTCAGGATCTGGAGAGCCTGTAAGGAAAAGAAAGACAAAATAAAGAGGCCTATTTACTTTTTGTTTTTTTAACTGGAGAAGAGGATGGTTACAATTAAGGAACCACAATGAATTACACAAGGTTTCCCCTTCCTCTCCATCCTACTCCTTGCTTTACAAGGAAATTAACCTGACCACATCCCACCTATCCAGAGATGAAATTATAATTACTGACATCATATGAGTACCCCATCCCTGACTGTCAAATGAGTCCAGAAACGGAGGATATCTGGAACAGAAGAGGTTATAGAGGTGCGACCTTTTGACTGAGTCCAAGTTTTACAGATTTGGACTCAGTCAAAAAGCCACACTCAAGGACCTAGAGGATTACACGAGGCCTCAAGGCCTCAGGTTCCCCACCCCTGGATAAATCCAAATACCATCACGGGGGTGTGAGATAAGGGCTTCAAAGGAAAAGACTTGGCTTAGAATCTTATAATCTAGCCAACAGCTCACTAATGTTCAGACTCCTTAAGAGTCTGCCCAAAATGATGAATGTTCTAATAAACCTTGTCTTTGGCCGAAAGAAGGCTTGGGTCAAATTCTTTCAGGCAGGATCTGCATGTTGTGATTTTGGGGTCCCAGAACCTCTAAACCCCTGAACCTCATCATTTTGGTGAGCCATATGGGGAAACTGCCTAACCCCAAGTTCTTCTTTAGCCAAGACTTGAAGGTACATAAGCGTCCCCCCCTTTTTTTTGCTCTGCAGTTGTTGCTCTCCAAGCACCAAGAGTTGGAGGTGTTTTTGGGGCAGACAGTTATGAGGCTGTCCAGCACTCAGCCTGACACTCTCCAGCTCTTGGTTCACTGGGTCGATTTGAAGCCATGGATCTGGGTACACTTTCTGCAGCATAGAGGACAAGGACGGACACCCTATCTGGAAGTGTATGCCCAATTTTGTCAATTCGCTCAGCACTAGGGAATTGGGGAAAACTGCAGATGCTTTTTGGTTCCCTGAGGCTTACTTGCTCCCTTCCCCCTACACCCCTGAATCCTCCTTCATGGACGTTACAGGGAAAAGTTAGAACAGCTAAAAATATCTTGGCAGACTCTGGAGGTTTTGTGATTGATCATTACGGAATTTTGAGACTCCTTACAATCCTGGTCGCTCCTTTCTCCCACTCGCCTCTCTTCAGTCAAGAGGGTATCTGTTAACCCCTCTCATAGGAAAAGAGAGTTTCAACCTTTACCCCTCAGTTTGATTTTGCCCTCCTCCACCTGGGAAAGGAAGGGAAGAGGAGCTGCAGCTATAGCGTGGGCTCCCCTGGCAATGGCCTTGGGCCCTAGGGCAACCTTTGCCTGGAAGCATCACCCAGGTTCAGCACATCCTGCTGAAGGTAAAGAAACTGGCCTCTGAACTTGGGTAAGCATGCTCTTTTAAATTTGTAATTTTAACTGTTAATGATGACATGTTGATTCTCTGTGTAAAGTAATTGGGAAGTACATTTAACGAAACTGAAGTCACCTGATTGGTAATGGGTTTGTTTCAAGTTTCAGATTGGTGAACTTTTTCTATCAGTTATGTCAAGCAACTTTTCATAATTTGGTTACTGCTAAAATAATGTGGCTATTGTTGGTTATTGTTTTAATGTGTAAACTTGCCAAAAAGTTTGTTTGGGCTCTGTCTTGCTGAGAATTTGCAAGTGTATAGAAATCTCTAACGATTGGCTTTTTACACCAGGACAAATTTAAATTTGAGATGTAAATCCTGGAAAAGTTTTTCCTAAGCTGTGATTACTAAAACTTGCTGTTTGAGGTAAAAGCTCATAGGATTTTACTTTGAATTGTCTGGTGGATCACAATCCATTGACAATCAATAATCCACCAGTTGAGAGAAATGCCACAAGCTACTCAGAGAATGTGATACTGGTGGGAAGTCAGCATTGGGAAAAGCTAAGAGGACAATTCTAGCCTCAGTCTAAGATGGGATCCTCCTGGCTCAGTTTCCCCATTATGTTCCTTTGAAAGGGAATGTTACCCACCTGGCTATTCTTGAGTCTGGTTATGAGGTGGATTTGATACTGCATGGTTGGAAAACTGAATTACCTGAATCCAAACAAAGTTAAGGATGTTTTATCCTCTCATATTTGCGTCCTAAATCTAGTCCCTGCTTTGTATCTGGACTCTGCAGTTTTTTCTGTCGGATTTGTGTCTTCCAGACTACAGGTCATTCATCTACAATTGATAGTAAACAGTGGGTACCAGTCAATGTCCCCCCCCATCATTGCCCGGATGCAGCCTGTGCTCCGTTCCAGTCAACCTCCTCATTGGGACCCCCTCGAGGCAGGGACAGCTCTACGCCCCTTGCCAGCAGGAAGCAGTTTCAAAACCTGATACCTTCGCCCCTTACCCCAAAAGAATTTGGGCCCCATTTGTTTGAGGGTGGAATGATGAGGATGGGATCTAGACCCCAAAAAGGAAAAACCCTGGACTTTCCCACAGGGGCAAATCTCTGGGGGTCCCCTCAGGCTATAATTCTCAGGTTATAATCAACTGGCAAAATCATTGTGGAGCTCCCTATGACCCCAGGTCACTTCTCCATTCTCCCTTGGCCATGGGGTCCAGGTCCCTAGAATTCTATTACCTCATAGACGACTTGGCCGCTCCTAGATCCCTCCCGTAGTCTTAGTGTATATAAGGTCCATCTTGTCTCCATTAAGGTGCTTAGATTCTTATAATCTAGCCACTGCTCAGATTCTTAAAATCTACCCACTGCTCTGATTCTTGTAATTTAGCCAACATCTCACTAATGTTCAGACTCCTTAAGAATCTGCCCAATGTGATGAATGTTCTAATAAACCTTGTCTTTGGCTGAAAAAAAAAAAAGGAAAAGGCTTATAAGACCTAGAGCTAGGAAGGATCCTGGAAATCATCTGGTCCAACCCTCTCATTTTATAGATGATAAAGAGAGGCCCAGACAGATGTAGTGACTTGCTTGAGGTGGGAAATCCAGCATTGAAAACCAGTTCCCCTAACTCTGAATCCAGTTTCTTTTCCATATCGTAGATTGGATTTAGATGTGGGCTTCTTAACTTTTTGGAGTCATTAGACCCCTTTGGCATTCTAGTGAAGCCTTATGGAGCCCTGCGTGTTTAGAATAGCTGCATCACTGATTTAAAATTTGAAATGATTTTTCTAAATCACCAGGCCCAACCCTCTCATTTTATATATGAGAAGAAAAAAGCCCAGAGAAATGACATTACTTGCCCAAGGTCATATAGATAGTAAGTGAAAGAGCTTCAATTCAAACCCAGATCTTCTAATTCTAAAGTTTTTCCATATACCATACTTTTATGGATTTTTTCCATAAGGTCAGGGATTCTTAACCTGGGGTCTGGAAATTTGGGGGTTTTTTTTCCTTTTTATATTTTGATTGATTTTCTTTTTAATCCTATGAATTTTATTTTATGCATTCAAAAGCATTATTTTGAGCAGAGGTACATGGGTTTCTCCAGATTGCCAAAGGATTCCAAGAAACAAAACTGGTTAGAAAGCCTTGCTCTAGGTTACATGAGCACTCTGCCTTTTCTTGATTTGCTAATCCCAAACCACATGTCATTACAACTGAGCAGAGCCACTAAGATGAAGAGTTAAAGTTAGTCAAGTCTACATCTCCAGGCCTATCTGTGTAAACTGGCTCTCAACTTTCATTGGAAGCAGAGGCTGACATACCCCAAGGACCTTTGGATGCCCTTTGAACATCTTCAGAGATTCATCCAAAGCCTTATAGGAGGATCTAGTTGCCTCATTCTGGTCCAACTGCGTGATGTGAGTACTGTTGGTTAGGGTGGTCACACATTGTGGACTCTCTCCAATCTGCTGAGTCATTGGCTGGAAGACAAAAGGATAGAGAACTTTCCCACTCCACTGGCCAATATGAGAACAGTGATTGCAGCTGATTCTATGCACCCAAGTGAATCAGGCCTTCTCAGGTGGAGTGCTGAACATTAGGGAAGGTCACCCAGTAGTCAACTCAATTTGAATCCTGAAATGTTCTTTTATAATAAAATTGCTTTAGCCTGGAGTAGGTGTTTTATTTGTCCTAATGAGCTGAAATGAGTAAATCATTTGCATAAATGGTGAGAAAATCTCTCTCTCTCATTTGCTCACTTGCTCTCTTACTCTCTCCCCCTCCCTCCCTCTCACAGATGTGTGCATGAATGTATGTATGTATATATATATCTACATACATACACACATATACATATATATGGGTTATAAGTATCAATACACACATCTATAATATAAACTATATATACAATTATCCCACCATTGAATTAAAATGAACATTTTTATATAGCTATTTCTATATAGACATATCTATGTATATATCTATGTATATAGTTATATGGATAGGGATATAGAAAAAAAAAGTGAATCTTCTATTCTGAAAGGCGATCTTCTATTCTGGGAAACTAACTTATCATCAAGCCAGAGCAGCTGTGTTGTAATTTGTGTTATAATTGGAAATATTTCATTATACCATTGGAGACAGATTGAGAGGTGATCTCTACCACCAAGCTAAATCTATGGCATACCATCTCCAAGTGGGTCTTCTTTAATAATGAGAATTTCTCATTTCATAATGAGAAAGAACTGATTATGCAACAAATTAACCAGTGGACAGCCTGAGTCTTTCAGTGGTTGCCTTGAAAGGTTACAAAGTTCTTAAGGAAGTTATTGATGCTTAGGTCATTTCTCTCTGGAAAAGGCCAAGGACAATTCCCCAAGCTAAGCACACCTAGATGGGTTGTGGTCTGTATTGATGGAGAACATTTCCATAATTATGAGATTCTAAATCATAGATTCTCAAGTCCAGCCTCCTCATTTTATAAATTAGGAAATTGAGGCCCCAGAAAGCTTAAATGACTTGACCAGGTTCACACAGTAAGAATTTGAGATAAGATTTGAACCCAGGACTTCCTGACTCCAAGTCCAACACTGTGTTACAAATGAGTTCATATTTATAAAGTGCTTAGCACAATGCTTGGCACATAGTAGGTGCTGTATAAATGTCTCTCATTGATACATAAGCAGATGTGCCTATATTCTATGGGGTGAATTTGTTACATTTTTGTATATTTATATTATCATAGCATCTTGGATTTGGTGCTAGAAGAGACCGTAGACACCATCTAGTCCAATCTACTCACGTTACAGATGAGGAAACTACATTTCAGAGAAGTTCAATGACTTGTCCTGGGTCATACAGGTGGACAGCATCAGGGCCAGGACTAGAACCCGGATCCTCTGACTTGAAATCCAGCATTCTTTTCAGTGTTTTACACAACTTCCCTCATTATATTAACAATGGTTCCCTTTAGAATATACAAATCTTTCATTTCCAAGGATGCTAGGAGCAGTTTACCAATAGGAACCTTATTAGAGAGGTAGGCAGGAAGGAAGACACAAAGAGAGAAGGATTAGTGAGAGCTACCTGGAGGTAATGTTGGCAGATGTCGGCTGCGTTCCACTGCTATGTCTCCTGGGTGTCTCTGCTTATGGAGGTGGAGGGAAACTGTCCCTGCAGTGACTGCCTCAAGCAAAACACTGCATCTTCACCTTCTTGAAGGGGTTACCCAATACTTGGTTTGGGCAATAAAGATGTTGTGTTCTCAAACATGTCCAAATAGCTTCTGCTTTCCCTTTAAGTCAAAGCAACCCCACCATCATACAGGAAGTGGTACGAAAAATTTATGAAACTGAGGGAGAATACGTTCAATTTTTGGTTTGCAAGGTCAGCTCCAAACACTAATTGGGTCAAAGCTACATGAGAAAAGTCCCGTCTTGGGCTCTCTTTCTTTACCCTGAGTAGTTAACTAGTTAACTAGGGTGATTAGTGTGTTTTGGGTGGGGGGAGTAGGGGAAGAAAAGTCTTCAACAAGCATTTATTAAGTGCTGTGTCCCAGACTGTGCTAAGTACTGAGAATACAAATACAAGCAGAAAAAAATTCCTGCCCTTGAGGAGTTTGTGGTCTAATGGAAGAAGACAACCCTAGATAGTGGGTCTATAGTCGTCTCTGTTCAAACAAAGCACTATAAAAATGTGTTCATTATTATTATTATAAATTCATTATTACATGGATATGTATAAATAATAAGTATAAATTCATTATTACATGTATGGCTCACAAAACCCTTTCCTCACAATGGTGCCATTAGCTAGGTTTTAAGCATAAGTTTTATTCTTTCCGTTTACAATACAGGAAATGGAGGGCCAGAGCAGTCAAGGAACTTTCCTCTGCCACAGAGGCTCCTTTTTGAATGAGGAATCTTAAGATCTGGGCAGAGGAGACAGTTGCTTTAATAATAAAGAGGACCATGAGGGAGAAACTCATAGGGGGAAAGGGTCTAGGTTAGCTTATAAGGATATCAATGTTCTTGGCTTAAGGTGGCACTTTAGCTGAGACTTGAAGGAAGCCAGAAGGCAGAGGTGAGGAAGGAGCACATTCCTGCACAGGGGACTGCCAGTGAAAATGTTTGGAGTCAGAGATAGAGTGTCCCATTCAAGCAACAACAAGGAAGTCAATGTTCCTGCATGGGGGACAGCCAGTAAAAATGTTGAGTGAGGAGATAAGAGTATCTCATTCAAGCACCTAGCATCTTTGCCGAGGAAACCCAAAATGACGTCACAAAGAGTTAGGTATGAATGAAACAACTGAGCAACAACAATAAAAAGTACTTTCAACATTAATAGGAAGGTAAGCAAGAAAGAGGGTTTGAGGAGAGGGAATATAATAAATGCCCTTGGGACATGTTGAGTTTTATATTTCTATCAGACTTCCAGATTTATATCTTTAACAGGAAGTTGGCAATGTGAGACTGGAGGCCAGGAGACTAGTTGGAACTTGGAATCATCTAAATAAATTACAATTGAATTGTGGGGGCTGATGAGACCACTAATCAAAATATTATAGAGAAGGAAAATCAGGATGCAGGACTAAACCTTAGGGGACATCCGCGGTCTGGAATGAACTTGGTAAAGATTCAGCAAAGGAGAATGAGGAGTTTTCAAATATATAGGAGTACAACCAGGAGAGAGTGGTGTCATGAAAATCTAGAGAGAAACAGACAAGACTGACAGTGTTAACATAACTTTGAAAAGAGAGGTTGGGGTGAGTGATAAGACCAGAAAATGGACTGTAGAAATTTAGGAAGAAATTGGAAGTAAAGAAAGTGGAAATGCTTAATGTAGATGGTCATCTCAAAGAATGAAAGAAAGAAGAGAGAAAAAAAATCAGTAAATTGATTAGTGGATCAAAAAAATATATGCAGAGTATCTCCACCCCTGTGACTTCGATCATTGTATTGCTGAGAAGAGTTGTCTATCAAAGTTGGTCATCACACAATGTTGTTGTTACTATGTACCATGTTCTCCTGGTTCTGCTCATTTCACTCAGCATCAGTTCATGTAAGTCTTTCCAGGTTTTTCTGAAGTCTGCCTGCTCATCATTTCTTATAGCACAATAGTATTCCATTACATTTACATATCACAACCTGTTCAGCCATTCCCCAATGGGTGGGCCTCCCTTCAATTTCTAATTCTTAGTCATCACAAAAAGAGCTGCTATCAATATTTTTGTACACGTGGGTCCTTTTCCCATTTTTATGATCTCTTTGAGATATAGACATAATAGTGGTATTATTGGGTCAAAGGGTATACACAGTCAATTTTAGTTATCTTCCCACAACCACTTCATTATTGATTATTCCAATCTTTTGTCATCTTTGCCAGTTTGCAGAATGTGAGGAGAAACCTCAAGGTTGTATTGATTTATATTTGTCTTATTATTAGTCACTTTGCTTCTAAAAATTATTGTTTCTACAAATCATTCTTTGATCCACGTATTATTTAGGATCTTATTTTGGAGTCTCCATTTTGGTATGTCTTTTGTTTCTGCTACCTGAATGGATTGCTAATTTACTTTGTTTTGGTCTGTAACAGGTTTACTCTTTCCCTCTTTTTGTGTTTATTTTCAACATCTCTGTCCCCTAATAAATAATTAATGATTTTTTTAAAGTTCAGCATAGCACTGAGAAGTGTGTATATTTATTGACAGTCCTTTGAAGATAGCACAAGTCATTTAATTGTACTTTCTGCTCCAATTTCTTAATTTTCTCTTTTATTTCTCTTTGTGTCAAGTTTATCCAAAAGAGAAAGATTAAAGTGTCCTACTAGATCTGTCTTTAATTGTGTAAAGAGGGTTTTGTAATTGGATTCAGATAACCCTGTAGGTGTCTTGACAGGTAGACTCCAGAGTACTTTATGTGGATCTGTAGTTATTTAAAATAGAATTTTTTTTCTATCTTTTCCTGACTGATGTTGGTTATGATATTCAGGAATGGTGAGTTTATATGGGCTTGTTTTATATCCTGTGTCTTTGAATTTGTTAATTTTTAATTTTTTTTAGTTGACACTCAAAGGTTCTCTATGTAAATCCATATGATCTGCACATGATAATTTTTTCTCCTCTGTGCCAATAGTCATTCCCTCAAATTCTTTTTGTCTTATTGCAATAGCTAGCACTCCTAGTACAGTATTGAATTAAGTTATGGCAATTATGGACATTCTTGCTTTATTCTCAATTTTTTAAAGACCTCTAGTTTTTCTGTATTATGGATACTGACTCTTGGTTTTAGATAGATGCTGATGATATCAAGGAAAGCTCTGTATATCCCAGTGTTTTGTAATGATTTCACAAACAGGAATGGGTGTCGATTTTTGTCTTGTTCTAAAACCTGGATACAGTGAATACATTTTGTGGTATGTTACTGTAGTATCCTAATATTTGATTCAAAATTTTTGCGTCAATATTCACCAAGGATAATAGTTTATAGCTTCTCTGTTTTGCTCTCCCTGGTTTACGTATCAGGATTATATTTGTGTCATGGAAAGATTTGCAATTAATTGTTCTACAAACATTTGGTTGAATTCAATTCTGAATTCATCTGGTCCTCATTGTTTTTCTTTGAGGAATTCATTAATGGCTTGTTTAATTTCTCTTCCTAAGATATGACTTTTTAAATCCTCTATTTCCTGTTGTATTAAGCTTGGTAATTTGCTTTTGGAAATATTTGAAAGAAAATTATCCCAGTAATTTATTTTATTTCTTTTCCCTTGGTTGTAAATGTACTTTATCTTCCTTGTTGAAACCTGTAATTTAATTTTCTCTTTTTTTTTTAAAGAAAAATTGTTTCCTAAGGGCTCATCTATTTTATGCCACATTTTCCAAATGTAAAAGCTCCTAGTTTTATTTTCTTAATTCAGTCTTTGGAGGGCGGTTGCTTTCGATTTTGTTATTCTCTCCTTTGATTTTTAGGACTTTTGATGTTTAGTAGGAGCAATTAATTTCCTGAGTCTGGGAAGGGGCGCAGTTTAGTTGCATGCTGAATTTGTTGATCAACTCTTTTATTGATGACAGTGGTGAAGAATATGTGTTTTCCACTGCCCAGGCTTCTTTGATTTCCCTCCCAGCTCTCATGATGAATCAAGACAGAAATAGGAAGATTTTATGAATGTGAGGTTTTGAAGTCAGAGATTGCATTTGTCTTTACGTCAACAGTGCATATCATGTCATTTGGTCAGTAAGAGGCCTAGAATAAATGCTTATTAACTTGACTTGACTTACTGACTTTATTTTGCAGGCAGCCCTTGCTTCTAGGAGTTTTACTCTGGCCATTTCTTCTAATCTTTCTCCTTCCTAACCAAAAGGAACAGAAACGCCAAAGCTGGCACCAGACAGAGCTGCTATCACTAACAAAGAATGCAGGGAATAGAGAAGTTGCCAGAAACATAGATTATGGTTAACAGTAGTCAGAGAGGTTGAGGCACAGTGCCCAGAAACTTAGCTTTTGCTCCTTTTTGATGAACACATTTATATGATCATTTATGTTATATAAATATTTGCATTAAGAATTGTATAGTACTTTCCAATTTTTTCCACATTTGATTATCAAGCCATTAGTTTTTCAGTTGTATCTGACTCTCCATGACCTTATTTGGGGTTTTCTTGGCAGAGATACTGGAGGGATTTGATATTTCTGTTGCCAGCTCATTTTACAAACTGAGGCAAGCGGGATTAAGCAATTTGCCCAGGGTCACACAGTGTCTGAAGCTAGATTGGAACTCAGGACGATAAGTCTTCCTGACTCCAGACCCAGTACTCTAGCTACTGACCGCCTAGTTGCCTAAAAGAACTTTGTTTTAGGTGCTTGTTGTTCAGTTGTGTCCAATTCTTCATGACTCTATTTAGGACTTTCTTGGCAAAGATACTGGAATAGTTTGCCTCTTCCTTCTCTAGCTCATTTAATGGATGAAGAGCTGAGACAAACAAGGTGAAGTGACTTGCCCAGGGTCACACATCTAATGTCTGAGCCCTAGAACAGCTAGGTGATGCAATGGTTATACTGTCAGGCCTGGAGTCGAGACTCATCTTCCCGAGTTCAAATCTGGCTTGACACTTACTAGCTATGTGACTCTGAGCAAGTCACTTATCCCTGTTTGCCTCAGTTTCTTCATCTGTA